CATCTGAGACCTTCAGGAAGAGGAGAGGGGTTGAGGATTGAGTTCAGTTACCAATGGCCAAGGATTTAATCAGCCTAAGAAATTTCAGTGAGAGCTTCTGAGTTGGTGAAGGCATCATCAGCATGCTAGGAGGGTCGCATGCCAGAAGGCATGAAAACTCCTCAGCACCCCTCCACCTTATCTTATGCATTTCTTCCATTTGGCTGTTCCTGAATTGTATGCTTTATAATAAAACTGTAAGTACACTACTTTCTTGAGTTCTGTGAGTTGTTCTAGTGCATTATCAAACTTGGAGGGTGGGGGACTGTGGGAATCCTGAACTTGTATAATAGTTGGCTGGTCAGAAGTGAGGGTAGACCATTGACCTCATTTGTGGCTGGTGTCTGAAGTTGAGGCAATCTTGTGGTACTGAGCACTTAACTTGCTCTAACTCTAAATAGTGTCACACTGATGTCAGAGAATCACTGTGGTAAGAGTGGAGTAGCAGAGATAGAAGAGGCTCTCCTACGATTCTCTAGTGCACATGGGACTTATTTCTATGTGATTATTAACTCTCCACACTCTACCGTCCAACTACTATACTGTAGACCTCGGTTAAAACCCCAGTATAGATAAAGTGGGATAACACTGTTGGAACAAATATACATCAGTTGTTAATAGCTGTTTTATGTTATATGTAAAGTGCTTCGCAAACTGGAAAGTGGTGTTCACCAAAAGGTTTAATCTAGTGTGTAGTTCCCGTCTCCTTTTGTAATCAAATTTTTTAGGATTCTGAGCACACTAATATCTTTTGGGAAAAGGAAAATGAACTCTGTTCTTCAAATTTGTCTTGAAAGGACTTGCCATGTATAAAAACTCAAATGATAATTTTAACACTTTGATGTGCCTTTGCCTCTGATCTCTACCTTGTGGTCAGAGTTCTTAAAAGGATATGATTAAAAATAAACCTTTATTTTCCTGGTTAGAGCTGGAACCCATACTACTAAGTGAAGTATCCCAAGAATGGAAAAACAAGCACCACATATACTCACCAGCAAACTGGTATTAACTGAGCAGCACCTAAGTGGACACATAGGTACTATAGTAATAGGGTATTGGGCAGGTGGGAGGGGGGGGGGCGGGTATATACATACATAATGAGTGAGATGTGTACCATCTGGGGGATGGTCATGATGGAGACTCGGACTTTTGGGGGGAGGGGGGGAAATGGGCATTTATTGAAACCTTAAAATCTGTGCCCCCATAATACGCCGAAATAAAAAAAAAAATCTGTACCCCCATAATATGCCGAAATAAAAAATAAAATAAAATAAACCTTGTTTCATACTTTGGCTTAAGGGAACAGCATAAGTTATCTCTAGCATTTAAAATTCACCAGCCATTAACTAGCAATTTACATATTTGAGACCACTATTTGTTAGGGCTTTAAAAAAAGCCCTACAACTTAGGAACACAGGCATCCTAACGTAAACTGAAAATTCAATGTGATATAATTTAATTCTATTATCAGTATTTTCTAACTTCAAAGAAAAAATACACTGTATAATAAGCTTTGTGATAGGTATCCAACTGCCAAAAAGAACAGACTTGGAAGTGTTCATGCACTTATTTTGATCTTAAAAACATAAACCTCCTTATTCCTGTCATATTTAGATCTGTGACTTCTCCAATTGTGGGAAGCCATCTTCTTCAGTATATTTCATAAATGTAATACCATCTAACATTAGGATAGCCAAAGAGGGTTAATTGAATGGATCTTTTAAATTTAACACACTAATTAAGTAGACAAAGTATTTGTTCAAATAGGCTCTACTAAAAAAAAAAATTCCATTTGCTGTTGTGCCCGCCATGTAAGAATTACAAAGAATACTAACTTCTTTCTCTTCCTTTCCTTTGAGCTGATTTTTGGGGGTTGGAGGTGTGTATTGGCAATTTTATATCTCAATTCATGAATTAGTAAGTTAATACAGGTACATAAAGACACAAGAGAATAACTCTGACCAGATACCGACTTTCACACTGGTAATTAAAAAAAAAAAAAGAGTCATAAACACATAATTTTAAAGTTTACTTTAAAAATGTAAATATCTCCCATATTTAACAGGTAAAGAAAATAGCATATTGGTTTATTTTATGTGGTTGTTATATTTTATTTTCCAAGTAATACTGATTAAAAATATTTACACACCTACTTTTAAGTCCACAGTTTAGCACTCTTATTTGTATGGCTTTAAAAGTTATAGCACAAGATCTTTACATTAAGGATGGGGGAGGGGGAGATTCCATTCAAAACAAAGCCTGATAATTATATACATGTTTTTCTCTGTACTTTATTTTAAATACATTAATTTTAAATGATACTCATCTTTTTTTCATCTGGTGGTAAAATACTAGTGCAACTTTTCATCAAAATAAAGTTTACCACAGATGTAAATGAATTTTCCCAATTGAAAATGGCCCTTCAGCTGCCATTAAATGAAATTTCTCAACCTAAGTGAAAAAAAAATTGGTGGTTGTCATTATAAGCAAAAATATAAAGTAATATAGCATTGTCTACATTGCTCCTTACAATACAAACTTTGAAAGAACCAGAGATGCTTTATAGAAGTTTAGTTGGTTTTGAAAAGGCACATGGGTGTGGATTTTTTTTTTTAAACATTCTAGAAGTTTTGCCACCACCACTCTTTCTATTGCAGAGATGGCATCTGTGACTATTGGGGTAAACAAGAATGTTTGTTCAAACTAAAGAAAGCCAGAAGCCAAAATTCAACTGCACAGTAACAATGCACTTTTCTTCATGCAGCCTTGTTTCCTATATATTCAATTTTCTAACATGCATTAGAATACATAACCTTGTATTCTAATGATTTTATGTTTGATTTTACAATATGGAAAAATTTTGAGGAAGGACATGACCTGGGAAAGAAAAAAGAGATAACCTTTACCACAATGAAAATAGATACATTCGTACCCAACTATGTAATAAGAATATAATCCATTTAAATTTCCCGAAATATACTCCTCAAAGCTCCCCTTCATTTATGGGAAAGATCCCTCCTCTGTGGCATTAAGTTGGGGGAGGAGAATCAGTTTGCTTTGATAAACAGTTCAGCACAACAGGAAATAAAGTTTAACTTTGGTCCACTTGTCTGTTAGCTTTAAGGACAGTCACACTGCCCATCATCAGTTCAAAAACCCAACATGTAAATTTAAAAATATATTCATCTGCTATTTCATTCTAAAACTGGCATAGCTGTTCTGTCTTCATCCCCTGCCTTTTCAATTTGGGAATCCACTGTTGGCTTGGTCTCTAAATCCTCAGCATTTTCCTGATCTTCTCCAGCAGCCTCAGCAGCCTGTGCTTGGCTAGGCTCTCTCTCCTCATGGTTCATGATTTCTGGGGTCACGTGATCCAAGTCTGTGTCTAGAAGCTCAGTTTGTACTTCCATTGGCATCTGATTTACCCGTTCAACATGCAGCTCCTCCACATGTACCTCAGTACCTTCTTCAGTCTGAATTCGACCCACTTCTAGGTAACTCACTTGGACTTGTTCTGGAAGTTCACTTATATGTGAATCATGCACTTGGCTATCCTGGAGCAGATCTGGATGAACTTGCTCCACAGTTACTTGTGCTGAATCCACCTGGACCTGAAGCAATGGTAACACATGCACCTTCCCAACTTGTTCTATAATAGTCATTGATGTCACAGGTTCAGTTTGCACACGTGTTTCTACTGAAAGAACTTCTTCAGTTACTAGACGCTCTGAAATATTATGAGTATCACTGAGATGCCTCCTTAATTCATTTCCTTGCATGAACCACAAGTCACATAAAGTACAATGGTTGGGTTTATCTCCAGTGTGTATTACCAAGTGATCCTTGAACTGGTCCCAGCTGTTAAACACACTGTTACAGACCTGAAATAACCAAACATACGGTGTAAATAATAATATTTGAAGGAATATTATTGAAGGAAATATGGATGCATTTATATTCTCTGAAAGGATAATATTGAAAACTCTTTTCTGAAAATGTTATAAACATAGTATTTGCAATATAATCTAGTCCAAGCTATTTCATAATTCCTTGGTTCACTTAGTCTTTTAGCTTATATAGCTAACAACTTAAATAGATTTTGGGAAACATTTCAATATTGTCTTCATTATTTAAGCATCATATAAATTCTAGGAATATAAAATAACATTGTAATTTCTCCCATAATATCAACATTTCTAATCATTACATTATGTCAGATACTAATAGATTAATCATGGAAGATGATTCAATTACAGAGAGTCTGCCTCCTCCAGTCCCCCTTCCAAATTCTAAGCATTACTCCATGGCAAAGATTAACTGTAGTTTCACAGTATCTGTTATTTAGGACATAATTTTTATTGACATGGGTGTCTTCTAGGCTTAGGTAAAAACTATTCCAATTCCCCTTATAAAATCAAGACAAATGTTCTTTACTCTCATTTCTTTCCAAATCATCAGGCTTTGCTGCTCTATTATCCTTCATTTTTAATGACTGCACACACACATTCCTTTGTTGAGGACTGACTGAATGCACCTGCACATACCTGGCATTCATAAAGCTTCTTTCTTCCCTTTTTTGCCCCCACTCCAGTTTGGCATGCGGTGAGGTGACATTTAAGGGTGCTATTTCTAGCAAATCGTTCATGACAATTTGGACATTCAAAAGGTTTCTCACCTATTAGAAGAGAAAAAAAATATACTGACAAATTAAGAAAAACAGCAAGAGCAAATACTTTTTAAGATGTTACTTTTTTCTTTTAGGTTAATAGTACATTCTTAAGAGGCAGAATCAAAATTTATAATGCAGATATTTTCACCACATCTAAGACTTTGCTAGAAGTGGCAATAAAAATAAGATTTAGTGATTATTATAATTGTACCTATGCTCTGACAAATAAAATTTAGATCTGACTTCTGTTCTATGTTTTGCAGTTCTTAAAAAACTGTGTATTTTCCCACAGATGAAAAAAAAAACAAAAACCATAATCATCATCTGTTTGGAGGAAATGCATCACTACCCTTTCCACAAGCATTTTTTGCACACTTACTGTGTGCCAGACTATGTGCTAGGTGATGAAGATAAAGGACAGAGTAAAAAGATGAAATATATGAAAATAAACAAATACAATGCACCGTAGAAGACCTGTTACAGAAAAGAGTACTTAGAATATGTACTGCAGCAGCACAAAGGGGGAAGGGCAATTCTGCCTGGAATGAAAGGAGAGAAGAAAAGAAAAGAAGGACATTTATTCTGGGCAGAGGCACAGAAGTGCTAAAACAGCATGGTGGCTGAAGAGAAAGGAGGGAGGAATCAATAATGACACCCAGATCTCTGGCTTAGAATACCAACCAGGATAAAGAACACAGGACACAGGAGTCCAAACAGGTTTGGCGTGAGGTGAGTAGGAAAGAGTGTAAATTCAGTTTTGTGTCTATTGAGTTCAAGGTACTCAGAGCAGAGAGATGTTCTGTAGACAGTTGTACAGACAATTATGAAGCCAAATAGAGGGTGGACTGACATGCAGATTAGAGGTTATTTTAAGTGAAAATAAAAACCTTCATTCTGTCCCTGGCTGTCTAGTGGTTAGGATAAATGAAACAAAACAAACCTTCATTCTGGAGAAAAATTCTCAGAGTATGCTGTGTGATAACATAATCAAGGCTAGAATCCAGTGGAAAACCAAGTTAAAACAGCAGGTAGATGAGCTAGCAAAGGGAAGAGAAATAAATAGCCAGAAGTAGAAGGAAAGAAAACTATGGAAGATTACGGTAGTCAGTGGTATGTGGTGGGGTCAGAAGCCAGACTGCTAGGAGAAGAGGGAGAATGAGAGGCACATCGATGAAAACAGAAATGTCCTCCAAAAGGCCCAGAAGTAAGGAGTAGAGGTGGCTAGAGGGGACCAAGTAAACAAGAGGATTCTTTAAGTCAAGAGAGACATTTATTATTTATTTGCTGGGGGAAAGAGGCAATAGAGAAAGAAGAGTGGGAATGATAGATGGGACATGCTCTTAGAGGAGACATCAAGGCATGGGATCCAGAATTGGCCTTGAAGAAAAATCTCCTCCTCTATCTAGAATAAAAGAAAGTGATAAATCAGACACCAAGGGGCCTAACTTAAGGTTTGAGATATGAATTTTCTCTAGCAGTGCTCAACAACCAGGGAGCAGGAGTAAATGACTGCAATGATTCTAGAATGGAAGTTTTTTTAGAGCAAGCAGAAATGTGCTTAGAGTATAAAAGGTGATTCGAGCTGTATAGAAAGAGATCCAGGTAAGATAGAAGTCAGAAATGAGGCAACATATTAGGTGGAATTTTTTTTTTCTGACAAAACAATTAGAGCTTGTTTTGTGTCATTTTCATGTTATGAACAAATTAAGAATTAACTGGAATTATGTGGTAATTATGTGATACAGAAATTCCTTTTCTACTTCAAAAATGTTGGGCAATATTGCTAAATAAAATGGTCATGTTCTGTTGTTTTATCCTACAAACAAATTGGTACTGCTGCTTTAAAGAGTAATTTGATAATGTTTGTGAAGATTTAAAATGTGCACATTCTTTGACCTCGCAATTCTGCTCTTAAAAATGAAACTACTTGAACATGTGAACAAAGATACATGTATAAGGATGTTTACTGCAGCATGGTTTGTAATAGCAAAAGCCTAGCAACAACCTAAATGTCTTTAATAGGAGTAACTATGGTATACCCATACACTGAAATATTGGGCAGCTACAGAAAAAAAATTTAAATATTCATAAATATTTCATATTTTTAAAAAGACTCCAAGATAAAATAATTGACATAATGCTGTGCTACCACGATTCTGGTTTTCAAAAGCACTCATGCAGGCCAGGCGCGGTGGCTCACGCCTGTAATCCTAGCACTCTGGGAGGCCGAGGCGGGCGGATTGCTCAAGGTCAGGAGTTCAAAACCAGCCTGAGTGAGACCCCGTCTCTACCATAAAAATAGAAAGAAATTAATTGGCCAACTAATATATATAATATAAAAATCAGCCAGGCATGGTGGCTCGTGCCTGTAGTCCCAGCTACTCGGGAGGCTGGGGCAGGAGGATTGCTTGAGCCCAGGAGTTTGAGGTTGCTGTGAGCTAGGCTGACACCATGGCACTCACTCTAGCCTAGGCAAGAAAGCGAGACTCTGTCTAAAAAAAAAAAAAAAAGCACTCATGCACATGTATCTATGGCTACCTGAAAATGCAAGGAATATACCTGCAACAATAAATCAAAAAACAATAGCAACAGCTGCTTATGAAGAGATCTATTTAAGTAGGAAAGATTTGTTTTTCATGATGTGCAACTTGAGCTTTTTCTTAGAAATACCAACATATTAATTCTATTTTAGATGTGTGGACAGTTTAGTTTTCAAAGTGCTTTCACCATTTTCCTATTTGTTATAACCTTGTAAATTAGGCATCATTATTCTCATTTACAGACAAGAAAAGAAGCCCAAAGATGAAGTGACCAGGCAAGTTCAAATATCGGAACTGGAGTCGGAACTGAATTCTAATTTTTGGACCTACATTCTTTCTGATTCCACACCACCTCTCTTGGAAACTAGGGAGCACCTATTTGAAAACATGCTTAAAGGTGATCTCTAGGTTTTCTTTCACACTAGGTATCCCACAGGCGTATGTCAATGTGTCTAGTATCTTCCCTCCCACCCCAAATTGCTTATCCTTCTATATTGTTCTAAGTTAAAAACCTCCAATCATGTAAGCCATCTAAATCAGAAAGCTGGGAGTCACCTCCTCTTTTACCCTCCCTCCCACCTCACTGATCACCAAATCCTATTGATTCTGCCTACTTAATATTACCTAAACTCCTCTAGCCCTTTTCCATTATCACTGCCTTTACCTGACCTCCCATTCTGATTTAGATGACTTCAACAGATAACTCACTGAGTTGGCAGGTTTCACCCTACGCCAATCTACCTGCCAGTCATCTCTCTAGAAAATAAATCTGATCAGATCTCTTATTAAAACTCCTTCAAAATGACTGAGAGTCTTCAAAGATAAAATCCAAACTCATTTACAGCACTTATGAATGAAAGTAACTACATGACCTCAGCCTCATTCTCTCATTATTCTCTCTCTCTCCTCTTTAACCCACTTGCAGATTCTTCATATGCCTAGTGTATGCCTCATGGTCAGCACTTCCAACTCCTTCGGCTACATCTCCTGGCATTCTTCTACCTGGACCCAACCCTTTGGTCATACTGCACTACTAGCAGTGCTCCGAACATTACACTTCCTCTCATGCCTCTATGCCTGTATGTGTTTCATTTCCTTTGCCTGGAATGCCCACTTCTAGGCTAATTCCTTTTCCTTTGAGGGTCATCATAAGGTAATAACCCTAGCAAGTTATCTGCTATGGTTTGAACATTTTTCCCCTCCAAAATTCATGTTTAAGCTTAATCCCTAATGTGGCAATACTGAGAGGTGTGGCCTTTAATAGTGACTCAGTCATGAGGCCTCTGCCGCCTTGGGACTCTCCAGCAAGAAGGCTCTCACCAAATGTGGCCCCTTGACACTGGATTTCCCAGCTTCCATAAGAAATAAATTCCTTTTAAATTACCTAGTTTCAGGTATTGTTATAAGCAACAGAGAACAGATTAAGGAATCATCCTAGTCTCTTCCATCATAAGCAAGCAGCCCAGGCAGGCATTCCCATAGGATTCTGCTTTTCTCTATCAGCAATGAGCATGTCACACTGTGATCGTGCCTGCTTCTCTCCCTCAACTGTGAGCCACTTGAGGGCAGGGACTCTTAAACTGCTTTATATTCATGGCCTCCCAGGATAGCATTATCATTATTATTTTCCAAATTAAAAGAAAATAAATCCAAAGCATAGAAAACAGCTAAAATTCTGCAAATCGTGCCACAGATTACAGAGCATGCTTTAAGAATCCACATTAATCAAAATATGAAACTGAAGCCGGGCACGGTGGCTCACGCCTGTAATCCTAACACTCTGGGAGGCTGAGGCGGGCAGATTGCTTGAGGTCAGGAGTTCAAAACCAGCCTGAGCAAGAGCAAGACCCTGTCTCTACTATAAACAGAAAGAAATTAATTGGCCAACTAATATATATAGAAAAAATTGGTGGCACATGCCTGTAGTCCCAGCTACTTGGGGAGGCTGAGGCAGTAGGATCGCTTGAGCCCAGGAGTTTGAGGTTGCTGTGAGCTAGGCTGATGCATGGCACTCACCTAGCCTGGGCAACAAAGCGAGACTCTGTCTAAAAAAAAAAAAAAAAAATGAAACTGAGTAAGGTGTTAATGTGTTTTGAAGGTAGGAAATGGGAAGAGAATTGTCTCCTATCTTCACAGTTTGCTATAAGGGAAAAAATGATCCATCCTTTATTAACTTAAACATAATTTAAAGTGACTATAGGCCACGTGCAGTGGCTCACACCTGTAATACTACCACTTTGGCAGGCCAAAGTAAGGGGATTGCTTGAGGTCAGGAGTTTGAGACCAGCCTGAGCAAGAGTGAGACCCGTCTCTACAAAAAACAGAAAAATTAGCTGGGCGTGGTTGCATGCAACTCAAGTAGTCCCAGCTACTTGAGAGGCTGAGGTGGGAAGACTGCTAAAGCTCAGGAGTTTGAGGCTGCAGCAAGGTATGATTAAGCCATTGCAATCTATATTGGATGCATACCCTGTCTCAAAAAACAAAAACAAAACCGCTTATAGGCACACCTCATTTTATTGTGCTTAGCTTTATCGCAACTTTTTTTTTTTTTTTTTAACACAAACTGAAGGTTTGTGACAACCCTGGGTCGAGCGAGTCTACCAGTGCCATTTTTCCAACAATATGTGCTCACTTTATGTCTGTGTCCCCATAATTCTTATAGTATTTCAAACTATTTAATTATTGTTATATCTGTTATGATGATCTGTGATCAGTGATCTTTGATGTTACTACTGCAAGTGTTTTGAGGCCCCATGAACCACACCCGTAAACACAGTGAAGGTAATCAATAAATGCTATGTGTGCTGACTGCTCCACTGACTAGCCACTCCCCCCTTTCTCTTTCCTCCAACCTCCTCATTCCCCAAGACACCATGATATTGAAATTGGGCCAATTAGTAACCCTACCATGGCTTCTAAGTGTTCAAGTAAAAGGAAAAATTGCATATCTCTCACTTTAAATCAAAAGTTAGAAATGATTAATTAAGCCTATGACAAAGGCATGTTGAATGCCAAGACAGACTGAAAGCTCGGCCTCCTGAGCCAGTGAGCCAAGTTGTGAATGCAAAGGAAAAGTTCTTGAATTAAAGGTGCTATTCCAGTGAACACATGAATAAGAAAGCAAAACAGCCTTATTGTTGATATGGAGAAAGTGCTAGTGGTGTGCAGAGAAGATCAAACCACCCACAACATTCCCTCAAGCCAGAGCCTAATCCAGAGCAAGGCCCTAACTCTCTTCAATTCTATGAAGGTTGAGAGAGGTGAGGAAGCTGCAGAAAGAAAGTATAAAGACAGCTGAGGTTGGTTCAAGAGGTTCAAGGAAAGAAGCTGTCTCTAGAACATAAAAGTGCAAGGTGAAGCAGCAAGTGCTGATGTAGAAGCTGCAGCAAGTTATCCACATGATCTAGCTAAGATGATTGCTCAACTTGGCTACACCAAACAAGTGACTTTCAATGTAGACAAAACAACGCTCTATTGGAAGATAAGGCCATCTAGGACTTCTATAACTAGAGAAAAGTTAATGTCTGGCTTCAAAGCTTCAAAGGACAGGCTGATTCCTCTTGTTGGGGGCTAATGCAGCTGATAACTTTAAGTTGAAGCCAATACTCATTTACCATTATGAAAATCCTAGAGGTCCTTAAGAATTATGCTAAATGTATGCTGCCTGTGTTCTAGAAATGGAACAACAAAGCCTAGATGACAAGCACATCTATCTACAGCAGGGTTTACTCAATATTTTAAGCACACTATTGATACCTACTGCTCAGAATCTTTTCAAAATATTACTGGCTTGGTAATATTATAACTGCTCAATAAAACATTATAATGTACCTAGTCACCCAAGAGCTCTGATAGAGATTTATAAAAAGATTAATATTGTTTTTGTGTCTGCAAATACAACATCCATTCTGCAGCCCATGGATCAAGGAGTAATTTTGACTTTCAATCTTATTTAAGAAATACGTTTTGTAGGGTTATGGCTGCCATAGATAGTGATTCCTCTGATGGATCTGGCCAAAGTAAATTGAAAGCCTTCTGGAAAGCATTCACCATTCAAGATACCATTAATAACATTCATGACTCATAGGAAATGGTCAAAATTTCAACCTTAACAGGAATCTGGAAGAAGCTGATTCCAACCCTCAAGGATGACTTTGAGAAGTACAAGACTTCAGACTTCAGTAGATGAAGTAACTGCAGATACAGAATAAATAGCCAGAGATCTATAATTAGAAGTGGAGCCTGAACAAATGACTGAATTGCTGCAATCTCCTGACAAAACTTGAATAGATGAGAAGTTGCTTCTTAGGGATGAACAAAGAAAGTAGTTTCTTGAGATGGACTCTACTCCTAGTGAAGATGCTGCGAACATTGTTGAAATGACAACAAAGAATTTAGAATATATTACATAAACTACATTGATAAAGCAGCAACAGAGTTTGAGAGGACTGACTTTAAAAGAAGTTCTACTGTTAAGTAAAATGCTATCACAGCATCACATACAACAGAGAAATCTTTCGTGAAAGGAAGAGTCAATTGATGCCGCAAGCTTCACTGTTGTCTTATTTTAAGAAATTGCCACAGCCACCCTAATCTTCAAAAACCACCACCCTGATCAGTCAGCAGCCACCAATATCAAATCAAGGTTAAGACCCTCAACCAGCAAAAATATTATGACTTGCTGAAGGCTCAGATGATCATTAGCATTTTTAGCAATAATGTATTTTAAATTAAGATATGTACTTTTTTTAGATATGTTATTGCATACTAAAGAGACCACAGTATAGCATAAACATAACTTTTATATACATTAGGAAACCAAAAAATTTGTGTGACTGGCTTTTTTGCAGTATTAGCTTTACTGTAGTCATCTGAAACTGATCTGCAATATTTCCAAGGTATGTCTGTACATATGCTCTTCCTGAATTCACTAAGTCATTGATCACATCTACAATTATCTTGCCACTAATTACTAGTACAGTACAGTAATTGATTTAAGTTAAAAGACCATGAAAGTTTAGTTTGCTTTATGTGCTAAACTGTTCCTCCAATGGGCATATGGTTTGGGCATATGGTTCTATAATTTATGACAACTATGTAAGTTAACTAAGTTCCTTAATCTCATATCATTTTGATGGGAAGGACAAAGATGTACAACACAGTGTACTTTAACCCTATATTCTGTTGTCGAATCCAAAAGCACAGGACCTGAAAAGCACATTTTAAAATTTCCTAAGTGGTCTGTGTTGTTCTATTTTCAAGAGGATAAGAGTTACTAGGTAGGCTGGGCACGGTGGCTCACGCCTGTAATCCTAGCACTCTGGGAGGCCGAGGCGGGCGGATTGCTTGAGGTCAGGAGTTCAAAACCAGCCTGAGCAAGAGCGAGACCCCGTCTCTACTATAAATAGAAAGAAATTAATTGGGCAACTAATATATATATAGAAAAAATTAGCCGAGCATGGTGGCGCATGCCTGTAGTCCCAGCTACTTGGGAGGCTGAGGCAGGAGGATTGTTTGAGCCCAGGAGTATGAGGTTGCTGTGAGCTAGGCTGACGCCACAGCACTCTAGCCCAGGAAACAGAGCCAGACCATCTCAAAAAAAAAACAAAAAAAAAAAACTGCTGCTACTTTCATATTCCTAGGAAATAATATGAAAACAACTGATAATCTGTTGGAGTAGAGGAAACCACTATCAAAGTTTGCTAGTTACCCACAAATGTTTATTTACTGTGCTGCTAGGATAGCAATCCTTTTGCAAAATTAATCCAGTTCCCAAAAAAACATTCACCCAAATACCATTAAAATAAATGAATATTGATTTTCTAAGAACCAAAATTATAACTATAGGCAGTTTCCAATTATAACACACGTACAGTTATCTCTTGGTATTTGTGGGGTACTGGTTCTAGGACCCCAAGTATACTAAAATCCACACACTCAAGTCCCACAGCTGGCCCTGCAAAACTGTACACACACGAAGTCGACCTTCTGTATGTGCAGGTTTCACATCCTGGGAATATTGGTTTTTTGTTCTATGTTTGCTTGGGGAAAAAAAAATCCATGTGTAAGTGGATTAATGCAGTTCAAACCTGTTGTTCAAGGGTCAACTATATATACATGTTTGAATTAAGAAGGCATTTTCCAGGAAGATTTCATAAATGTGTATTAGTTACCCAAACGAGTACTTTAAAGCCTTTTAAATCCATACTGAGCCTTAAGTACAAGATTCTCTACTGTTTATATTTATTCAGTCCCATAGTATTTTTTTTTTTTTTTTGAGACAGAGTCTCATTCTGTTGCCCGGGGTTGGGGTGCCATAGCAACAGCCTATCTCACAGTAACCTCAAACTCCTGGGCTCAAGCGATCCTTCTGTCTCAGCCTCCCGAATAGCTGGGATTACAGTCATGAGCCACCATGCCCGGCTTTATTTTTCTATATATATTCTTAGTTGGCCAATTAATTTATTTCTATTTTTACTAGAGACGGGGTCTCACTCTTGCTCAGGCTGGTTTCGAACTCCTGACCTTGAGCGATCCGCCCACCTTGGCCTCCAAAAGTGCTAGGATTACAGGTGTGAGCCACCGCTCCCGGCCAGTCCCATAGTATTAGCAGCAAAAGTCTGGATAGTGAGGGATAACATTATCTGAATCCATCTGGTTCCTCAATTTTAAAAAGTATATAAGCAAATGACTGGACAAGGGAGGAATCTATTTTTAAAAAATTCACCAGAAAGTCTCCAAACTCCAGCATCAAAGAGAAAGATTCTGAACATTGCAGGATATCTATGCTGTATTTACTG